AGTTATTATTGTAACTGATCGTTTCCACGGTGCGCCGTGTAGGTGTATAATGTATATGTGCGAATTTAATGTGTGTTTAACGTGCTCATGTTTTTATTCATCTTACCATCGTAATCAAATTTACCATTGTATATTTTCATTGCTGTTTTTAACATGCATCGGCCGTCGATTGTAAAATTGTGGCCCCCGCTCGCATTTTATGAAACTATTACTCGCTTCGCACACATGCCAATGTATTTTAATGGACCGGCAACATAGTACGCCAATGTAGGTTACAATTTTAATTTACTCAAAACGTTTAGGCGTTTTACGTGCAGATCTGTATAATTGTTGGAATATTTTTGTAATAATATTTTCATATGTAAAATATAGAAATACATTAAGTTGATATTGTCTGAAAATATAACTGATGAGCACGGTATAGAATATTAAACGAGTTTATGGTGTATAGACAACACAAGTGTCTACTGAACACTATAATAATATAGGTATGTAATTGATTAACTATAGTTTTTGACGTTATCGCCATTTTAACGATTTGTCTATACAGTATAACTTTACTATAAAATATGTATAACTCTTATTGAAGTCAAATTATTGATTATAATAAAATTAAGCCCAAGAACTTTTTGGTACCTAGATGATCTAGTACTTTTTTGTGAATAATAAATAAAGTTGAAATATATCGTATTATAATAATATGTTATCTACTATATAGATGAGAAATACATTTAAATAAGATTATGATGATTTTGTGTCTTGTAGATTTCTAATAAATGCTCCTAAACTTTAAAATATTTCTTGGGGAACTTCATATAATATACTACTTAATACAACCCTAATATCTAATATTTAATTTTATAATTTGTTTATAAAACCATATGCAATTTTCAGTTTTGGTCCTACTCTCAAACAAAATAATACGGCTGGATGAACTTTTTAATAAACTCTATAAGCCCTTCAGAAATGAATAGCTTCTATCTGTATATTATATTTGTATGGTTATTTGTATAATAATGAACAATGATATTAAATAGGAAACTATTAATACTTTAATTACTATAGTAAAAATTTGAGATCATAACTTTTTTTAACATAAGTTTTAAAAATGGTTGTATTAAATAAACTTCCTTTTAATTAGTGTTAAAATATTTTATTTAAAAAAAATTTAAACTATACAAATCATCACCTACCTATATTGTTGGGTATTTATTAATTTTTGTGTTGAGTATCAGCAATTAGATTACACTATGTTTAGTAATGAATTAAAATATTATAAATTAATAAAAAATGTTAAACAAATATTATTCACATTTTTTATARATTATATGATTGTATTTAACGTGTTAAAAGTTTTACAGGGCGATTCTTATTTTCTCTTAAATAATGAATTTGTTCAAATTCTATTTTTTAATTTTTTTAATTTTTTCTTTCAGCTGTTAAATGAATGTAATACCAAATACTAACATTATAATATAATATAATTATAATTGTTTAAGATAAATTTCACGATTCGTCTCGGAATTTAAGTTAAAGTCACTCTAGCTG